CTAGGCATCATAGATTTCTGCCCATGCTTTGAAAAGTAATACAGAGGGTCATCAATAAGTGAAGAGCTGCGCACGACTCCTCATTTGTCTCTGATGTCAGCTGATGACCAGACAGTTGGATGTGCATACTGATAACAAATGACTGCGCCCTCCGCTGACCCCGCTGGTGGCAGAGGATGCCTGACTGTGGGACACAAATTCACTGAATAATCATTATGCCAGTGCACTGAGGGGAATTAATAAACTAGCAAATTGACTGGCTCCAATCAGGTCACAGTGTATCTCATCTAAATCCTCTGTGGCGTCCAGAGGATAACGCAGGGCTACGTGTGGTGAGATGTTAGGGATGTGAGCTTTAAGGCAGTCCTTTTACCCCCGACGTCCGACTGCTAAAACTCAGATATTCATGAGCACACGCCAAATACTTCTCAAAAGTGAAATTGTAGGTTTTGTTACCTGGTTTTTCTGCTGGTGCCCAGGAAGGTTTGAAACGATGCGGCGTGTTTTTAAGTCCCATGGTGTTGAAACACTTTTACTCAGAAAAACAAAACCCTGCAATTATGAGGCTTTTAGCTGGTAACAGGATAAAAGGGTCTCTAGAAACACACTTCAAACGTAAGAATTGTTTAATAATGGAATGGAAGACAGACACTGATGCTAACCACACAATGTGTAATGTGTCTGATCAAAGAGGGAACGGCGTTTCTTTACCGCAGCACTGTAAACGTCTGCTTATGCTGTCTGTGAACGCTGGGTGTTCATCTTGCTCTTTGTGTGAATTTATAGATTAGGAGGCCATCCAGCTCAAAGCTAAATGCATCCTAGATTGTAGCTAATGCAGTGAAGCGCCACTCTTTAGTCAATATTTACTGGTCAGTGATGAAATAGATTGTTATGCAGGCTGAATAAAGTTTGTGCACGCCAGCCTGTCCGCACCTTAATGAAGTTATTTTTCTGTTTTCTGTGACAGTTTTACAGTTCGGTTCCGTTTACAGAATAGACGGTGGAACCCAGTGATCCGTTATGGTCACGTGTAGCCGCTTTGCTCGGGTTGATGTCTTTTCAGTTTGTGTACATTTAGTCAGTGTGCAATTATCGGGACATTGATCATCAGTGAAGGTGTCAATTAGTTCTAATCAGGTGTTCTGAGTTCTTTAAGTTCCAGACATTAGGAAGGGAAATGAAGACACGCTGACATTTAACTTCATCTACATATATTGAGCTTTAACTTTTTAGTTATGGCTCCATGTTTCCTAATTATTAGTAATCAAGGAGATTAGAAGCTGATCTCCCTCTGTGGTAAAAAATTAAACTTGGTATTTAGAGTTAGACAAACTCCAATATGACACTTTGTTGAAATGCCTTTGTTCATTATGGTTAACACGTATTTGATTAAAAGCAACGTTGGATCATTTAACCATCAGTGTTGGCAGGCTGTTACTGGTGAGGTGTAACCAGTCAGATAGTGCTGTCAGCATTACATTTAACCACCACGAGATTCCAGACAGACTGTAAAGAATTTGCTATTTTTTTTTCTTATTTTTTGGAATTTCTTTGTTTGTGTAAATTAGAGATAATAACAGGTGAAAAAATGTTACTGTGACAAAACAAAAACAGTCAAACACTTTAATGTCTTCATCAAAAATCTGTATTTTTACAATTGGGAGTTATTACTATTATTATTATTTTATTTTATTTTATTTTTTTTTACAACGTGTGACCACAAAATTAGAATTTACTGTCTTTTAATCAGCTAAAAACACAATTATTTTAAAGATTTTTGCTGTTATTTTCTCAGTTTGGACAGTTTTTGAACATTAATCTATTATAACAGATTTTTTCGTGCTGCCAGATTTTCTTTTTTTTTCCTGAAAACATATGTAATAGTGTAGCTTTATTAGAGACAAAGTAGTGCATTTTCTTATTTTTTTTCTTTTATTGAGAAATATTTACAACAATTAACGATACTTCAAAAACCATAAATGGAACAAATCAAAACAGAGCGGCAACAGAAGCTCGACTGAAATGTTTAGTGTGAGCAACAGTTTAAATGAAAACCCACGCAAGATAAACAGCACATTTTTACATCTGAGAGACGGGAGTGTTTTATAAATGTCTTTTTTTTTTAAAAACACACTGAGGACAGTTTTTAATATGCCTTTACATCATTATCAAAGTAGTTGCCTGTTAATTTTCTATTGAACTATTAATTGAGTAATCATCCCAGTTCTCCTTGAAAGATAAAAAATGTATTTCTGCACTTTACAACCTCCCTAATGAAGCTCTGAATGTGGTTAGAAAATAAAGGAGAAAAAAAAAATTGGCAGAAAATGGCAAAGTAACTTCCAGGGGCACAGCGTGTTTGCTGATGTAAGGAGTTCAAGTGAAGTTACAGTCAGATCCCTGAAACCCTGGTCTGCTCAAAAGCACCCATTTTAGCTGTTATCAGCCCAATAAAACGCTACCATCGCTGATCATCCCCATTCATACCGGCCAGTGGAAACCTCCTAAATCTCCGGTCGGCTCAGCGGGTGCGCTTTTTTACCTCGTTTAATGAAAGTAGAGCCGCAAAGTGAAAGGAATGCTTCATAAAGGCACAAGTCTGCAGAGCGTTTTGTGTTTGGAGTCGATTCCACCGGAGATTTTACACGGACTTTATTTGCACGTCTGCGAAAGGTTGCTGACTTTATCAGGGCTGCTTTCTGTTCATCAATGGACGATAATGCGAGCACTAGAAGGTGGAAGAAACTTCCGACTGGCCCACGAATGGGGTGATCTGTGATGATAACGTCCGTGTTGGGAGCACAAACAAGTGTCTGTGCATGCCTCCGCTGCTTTATTCTTTCAGAGTGACAAAACAAATTCCACTCGCTTAATATGCGCAGGGGATGTTATTTGATTTATACTGTGTTCATGAAAAAGGAATTCATGATGCTCTTTCATTAAGGCGCTTTCCTGTGGTGCTGCAGAGTCTGATGTCACAGTTTTCATTTATCAACCGGCTGCTGGTCTGTATGTAAAATGTTCTACTTGTGAGCAAAAAGAAATGCTGAGATGGATTTCTATTGTAATCTTATGACTTTAACATGACAGTATACTAACATTTAGGAACACAATGACCTTTTCACAAATGTACTAAGTGGTGGACGAAGCTATGATCACTCTTTATGTACTTACTGCCGGCCTCCACTTACATTCATAATCTTACTGTGAAGCCTTGAGAGGCGTTCGCTCTCATGATTAAACCATTTTTTAAACTTTTTCTGTGCTCAACATACCCCTTCACACCTCGAGGACTATTCCAAAGGGCAATCTAAGAGGGAGCATGCTGCTATTAGAAAGCCAATATATTTGATGTAGTTCATGGGCTGCTGTACGGACTGATCTGTGGCTTGTCAAGACTTGTTAGTGTTCATGCAGGTTGAAAAGGCAGACCACAACAGAATCCCATCCTCGGAGAAGATCACACTAATTATTGCCTAAAAGAAAATCTTGCTCTCACAAAACCTTTGGTAAATGAAGTCATCCTCACGCATCCTGCAGGTTTATAATTTTTTTTTTTTTTACACATTTCTTCTCTCGACTGCGGCTTAATCACCACGCGAGCTCCGATGCTGGATTCGCCTCCTTTTCTTGCCTCCTCCATAAAATGGTTAGAGTATAGTGTTTGCTGCAGAACTGCACCCCTACAGCCTCGCTGAAGGACGCTTTTGCACATGTTTGCTTTTCTGTTCATTTCAAACCCTCAACTCTTGAATTAAACGAATTCTCAGGGACGTTGCATTCTTCGCCATTTTAAGGGTCACTTTGTTTGAAAAAGTATTGGTAAATGCAAATCAAAAACTGCCACTTCTGCTCTAGTCAATCACTGTGAAGTGCTTATTCACACGAAGTCACACTTACAGGAAGGTGGAGGGTACCGGTGAATATGTAAATCACTGCTAGTGTTTTCTATGCCTTCGGATCCCAGCCTTTTTGAAGCATTAACTCTTTGTGGCTCGTGGTGACCCTTTGTTGAGTAGCTGTCAGCTGTGAGTTCAGCCACAAACTGTGAACTGAGAATGCATTTCAGCAAATTTTTTGGTCTAAACACTTTAAGCAATCCAACATTTACTCAAGTAAGAATCACAGATTACATAAAATGTATGAAACATGATGTCACCTTGAAGTCTGATTTGCATTCTTCTCTACTTCCTGATGTTTCATTAGGATTCGACTGATTAATTGAGAAAATATTTGGCAGCTCAGTCGATAATAACTGATCTCCAGTCATAGCCTTGTGTCATAGGATGTCTTTTGCTTCATTACACATGAAAACCTTGAAACCATGAATTTACTAAAAAATGGAAATAAAGTGAGGCTGCATTTGAAAAAGTAGCAACAGAATGTTCTAACTTCATGATATTCCACTGAGCTGTAGTCTCTGATTCAGTGTCAGAAGCTTGAATAGTGCAATTTTGTTTACCACTGAATGAGAATAGTGTTTGAACTGATAAAACCTCTGTGTGAATGCACGATCTGAGATAAACGTGTGGTGGTTCACTGGCTGGAGTGGGATGTAGCTTGAATTGAGCCAGCCTTTGATCTTTACATGAGATTTAACAGTTGTGCATGCTTGCATAAACAGCACATTAGTAAGTAATTTGATTAAAATATACACTGTGTGCTTATATAACATCTTTGCAGTCTTCATTTTGTGCGTGCAGTTATCCAGTGATAAAACAAAATGGATTTCATTGCTCACTCCTACTGTGAAAGCTTTGTGATGAACTTGACTTGCATAATTTATGGATCTGACTGACACTTGGTGAGCTGAGAAAAACACCCTCCAGTATCAATGGGGATTCCCTGAAGGCCAAAGGAAATGAAAAAGCCTAAATTAGATCCAGCTTGAAACGGGAGCTTAAATCCTGGCTTTCCATCTGTTTTTCACATAAAAATCGAAGGTTGACTTCTGACAAAAATGTAACACTGTTTTCCCCCTTTTGTGTGTTCTCCAGGTTTTATGGGACACAATGGCTATCCGGGCCCGTGCGAGCACAAGTACTGTGGCTTGGGTCGCCATTGTGTGGTCAACTATGAGACTGATCAGGGGGAGTGCAAGTGTTTGGATCACTGTAAACCGCACTACAAACCGGTGTGCGGTTCAGATGGGAAGCTGTACCAGAACCATTGCGAGCTCCACCGGGCGTCCTGTATCAGAGGACACAGGATTACCATCATGCACAGCGAGGAATGCTTCTACAAAGGTAAGAGCTCACGTGACGTTTCTTTGATGACGGACGTGTGTGGTCCAGTTGATACTGCGTGACTTCCATCAGAGCCTCTGTAATGTATGCCAAGTCCTGTTACTTATGGGGTTTAATTTAATTGAGTGTGATTCCTGCTGTGACAGGCGCTAAAATAGAAGATTATTAAATACACCCACAGTGTGTGCTGTTCAGGAAGGGTTTTTTTTTTGTTGCATTTTTAACAATGACTGTATATTTTGGACAGAAACCCAGGGCTTGCTGGAAAATATGTCACTTTTAACAGTAGGCTGACTGCAAACTGAGCAGCTGCAGGTGTTGTGCTTGTATAGAAATAAAGGAAAATGACCTGTTTGCATCCCACATTCCCCAAGTGGACATGAATGCTCACTCCCCTGGGTCAGTATCATGCGTAAGCCCTGGCCAAATTTCTATATTTCCCTAATGGTAGAACAAATTTAGGAGTTTAAAAAGGCTACTTAGAAATGTTGTACACCTTCTCATTTTGCTTATTGAGACAGACATGCACTCTGTCTACAAGGTTCTGGTCAGTTTGGCACAATGCTTCAAGATTTTTGTCAAATACTCCGCTTTGTTTGGCATGGATTGCAAAGTAGAAAAAAATGCCGCAGAGAAGAGACAGACCAGAAAGTGAAAGAACAAACAGAAGTCCAAGTCGTGTATTTATTGTAAAAATGAATTAGCCTTTCACAAAAACCATGACGTCAGTGCTTCAGCATGGCAGCACAGAGTCTACTGAGTGGGCCTGACACAAGGTCACTGGCATTTAACGTAACTCGGTATGATGCTCATTGAGATGAAGGCAGGCAAAGTGCAGATTCAAGTACAGGGGCCTTCAGATTCTGACAACAACAAGGAGCACACTGACAGCTAAAGTTGATTTACCTACCAGCAATAATATAAATACAAGACAGATTTGTCAGACTCACGCTCAACGCTATCAACTCACTGTCCAGCCAATACAATACCCATAACTTTAAAACCCCACAGATACCATTAAAAGTTTGCTGTCAAATAAGTGAATAATATTGATTAGAATTTTTAAAAAATGCTTTTTGAGCCGTGGCTGTTTCCAATAAGACAGACATTTTAAACAACTGTCACACACTGTTCCATTGTGTTTTCTACATTTTTGAGTGTCTGTCTTTGACACACATCCCAAAAAAAGTGTAAAATCTGGCAAAAGCTTGTAAACAAAGTATGTGTCTGCCCCAATAAGTAAAAAATAATGGAAATACAGCATGTCTCAGTAGCTTTATGACACCACTAAACATGCTGCAGAATTTAGATGAGGATTTTGACCTCCTTCTGTAAACTAGTGTAATTGGATTAATAGTGGGATTTCCCCAACATATGCTATATGTCAGCTATTCAAGAGGTACAGCAGTGAAAATAAATAAATAAATAAACAAAGAACTTGGTGGTTGAAACCCCTGCCTGATTTACATGAGATGTTCCTATTTAAAATTACATGTTTTCAACAGCAACATGGCTCTTGTAGGAAAAACTGTACATAGTACAAGAGAATTCACTGTACCATCTGCATTTTTATCCTGTCACAGAGAAAATAATGATGTTGGCGAATCCATCTGGGAGTATTATACAAGGTAAAACATAAAAAGCGGCATCGTAATTAGGAGGGTATCTCCAGCGATGTCAACAAAACAATTACCGTCCTGAGGTAGCTGCATTTTCTAACTGCACATCTAGATACCTAATGTCAGAATACAACCACGTACAGTACATCAAGTACCAGAATAAAACATGCCATTGTCGCTGAGACATTGCCGAGCAAAGAGAAAGCTGACAATGACATTATTTATTGGCAAATACAGTAGTCTGTTAACAACGTATAGTCAACGCAACATAAAGAACAAAGGACACGGCGTGAAACCAGTCATACAGCGCTTTGAGTCTGGTTTGGAGGCAGGAGCAGGTGGTAGTGCTGTAGTGCTCATATTTCCCCAGAGAAGGTTGACTGCTCTCTACCATTGATTGTATAAACACACCAATTATTCTTAGTCTCTGGAAACAAGGCTCTTCTCCCTTCTGTAATGCTAGACATCAGTGAAGTAAGAGCTCCTGACACTCGGCACCTTTGTTCCATTCAGGGGCAAGGGAATAACTGAGATGCTCACAGACAGCATATGCATAATATTCATGAGCGATTGCCTCTGCATTGATTCGACAGGGATTCTCCGCATCTTGTTAACTTTGAAAAGTAACTTCATAGAAGACTGGGAATGGTTCTTGGATCTATACGGTTGCACTTGAAACTCTCTGCGGTCCTCCTTACACAGAGTTTTGGGGGCAACACGCTGCGGATTGTAAAACCAAAATAAACAAATCAAATGCTCGTCCTCCTTACCCAGTTGCTTCCACAACAGAAATGTTCAATTTAGAGACGAACAAAGTCTCACTGCAGGTAGGAAAACATGTACAAGCTTTTTCAACAATTCCCTATGCGACGCAAGAGCCGACATACAAACTGTCAGTCTTAAAACTGCATTTTCATGACTTGCCGTACATGAAGGAGGCAACAAAAAAATGCTGCAGGTGAGCCAGTGTTAACAATCACAGCATCTGTTTCATCCCAATCACAGAAAAAGGCATTCAGATCAATGATACCCCGGTGAGTGACAGTTCTAATCAGCCTTTTTCATGTGTCCCATCCTGTCAGACCACCCCCTCCCACCTCCCACGCACCCAATAAGCGTCTATTCAAAATGCAGAGTGGGATATTTGACCAATGTCAGGCAATCAATAGTAGATCAACAGGAGCCAAAAGAAGGAATAAAAAAAAAAAAAAACACACAAGCCCTCTTTTTTTCTCCCCCCCATCGCATCCCCTGCTCACTCTAGGCGGTTTTTCTTTTGCCTGTGACTGATGTGTAATCAATTTCTCATTGGACGAGAGCTCCACAGAGAGGACACAGAAGCCTGCTGGAGCGATTAGTAATCTCTGCTATAGGCATTGTTTCCTTCTCAATATTTTCAGATATTTAAAAACCATACCAACCATAAATTATAAAGCAGTTGTTTACAGTTCTAAGCTTTGCATAGGAAACGCTGACTTACTGCCTAAATATTACGAAGCTGCAGGGAATTTGTTCTTTCTTGCAACTACTGTACGAAATGCACCATGGCAGTCAGAGGAAATTAATAATTGAGCAAATGTAATAGCGCTTACAACCAAATCTAGATGTAATTATGATTCAGAGGTTATAAGTGGGGAAAATGGAATGTGCCTGAAATGGCATGTTAAATATGTCACTTAATTTTTGTCCTCCAGGTAATGGGTGCAATTTATGCAGCATTAGGGAGATATATAGTCCGTATGGTGGCATAATAAAACATTTTCTTCACTTCTCTCAGTTTTAGTTACCTCCAAAGGTTATTTTTTGGGTCCCAGTTACTGCTCTGTCTGTCATTAGATATCTGTCTAGCAGTGTTCATTTGAATTTGGCAGAAAGTTATGAGTGATGAATAAATTTCCATGAAACTAGAGACGTTCTTTGTCTCAGAGGGGTGAAGTAGACGACCCTCTGGCTTTTCCTGTAGCACCACCATGTTCTTGACATTATTTTTTTCCTTTTTAGTGAAATGTGTTGACAGAAGTGTAAGAAATAAACTGCCATTGTAAATTGCAACTTGCCCAATGTTATGCAGCTGGATTCCAAGAAAACTAATGCTCATCTACTGTGTCTGGTAGCAGCCAATTAGCTAATGTTAGTCTGCTGACATGCTAAACTAATATGGTGAACAAGATTAAAATCATAGACTGTATAAAAGATGGACGTAGCAACCGGCCCTGAAAAATGAAGCCAACCCAGAAGTGTCAAAAACCTGCA